ATGGAATGGGAGCATCGCCGATGAGGCTCGGCGTGACGCATCGCTAAGTTAAAGAAAAAAATAAGAAGGGGGAGTAATGATAACAAAGCGCATGCCATGCGTTGTGGACTAATATCTAAGAACCCAGGCATTGCGAACAGACATAAAAGAGACGTAAAAAGATTTGGGTCGAAGACCTCGTCACATCAAGATCGATCGTTGGTGTTTTCGCGTGAGCTTTGCGGGCAGGCGATCAATGCGTATGTGTATGTGTGTGTGTGTGTATGTATGTACGTGTGCGTGTGTAGAGGCACTTGAGGTATAAGACCGCCCGTTCCGGATACGACCAGGCCTTCGAGATCGAACCGCGCTCCTTTTGTAGTCTCTTATCCAGGAATCGAGACCGTATAATTTCCAGTTCAATTTTCGACGTGGAAGAATGGAAAGGGGGAAAAAAGTACTTTACACCAATTGTCGCGCTGTTCCGCGGAATAACCACGTCAGGATAAGTACGTAGCGAAATGGGGAAATGAATAAATGAGAAAATTGAACGAGTTTCCGATGATGAAGTTAACAATAACTGTGACTTTTAATTTCCAAGAGTGACATTTAATTTCTCTGTGATTTCTAGCCAAGGAGTTTTCTGATAATTTCGTTATTTTAATTACTTTCACTTTCTGTCGTTAAACAATCATTTCGCAGTGTCCAACTTGTTACAAAATCACGTTGTTCTAAACAATTAATCTAATAGCGAATTCGGTTGCTTGCACCAGGTGCGCACCGAGTGCACACTACGGCTTGTTTACAGTCAATTTTTTATATTTAAGGATCGTCTTAAATATCTCTTGAAATATTTCGTAGTCAGTACAATGATCTGTATAGCGTCTACGCGGATCATTTCCTGGCTGAATACTTTTTGAACATGTATTTAAGACCAAGTTAAATATAAGAATGGACTATTAGCAGGCCTTAGTGTGCACTCAGTGCAGGCAATCGAATTCGCTGCGTTTCAGTTATTCCGACGTTGGGGAACAGTTTGCGCATTTTTCGCATCGCAATCTGAACTGGTCAAAATTAAACCGATCTCGATTCTTTTATCTCATCGCCCGAGATTAGTGATTAATCACGACAGTGGTTACTAGCGATACGACGGCGGTGATGGCGGCTGCTGCCGGTAGCGGCGGTTATGGATACGTAAGAGCTACGGCGATAACAAATTTATAATTACATTGTAAATTTAATAATCATAAATCGTAATGATCGCAACACACAGATCATGCGCACACTAAACACGCATCTCAAAACTAGTTAAGCGAAACTAATGATTGAATTATACTCCCAAACAAAAATAAAATAGATTACAAAAGAAAAGACGAACAATTAAATCGAAGGTAAGAGGGGGAGAGAAAAATTAGACGCAATTTTCATACGAAATTAATCCAACTGAAATGTTAACTGGCAGTCGTGTGAGTCGTTCGTATTCTTTCTCGCGATCTTGTCTCGCGATTAATCGTAGAACCCGACCGTAGAATTACAGATTACCCTGTTACACGATGAATATTTACGTCGAGATTTCCACTCCGAATAAGTAATTTCTTGAAGAAATTACACCGCGGCGATTTTATATTATCTTATTAGCGCGCAATATAAAAATGTATTACACGTAAAACGCGGCAATTTACCGCTGCGTTATATCGTGTAGAAATGCGAACAAAAAAATTATCTCCGAGACACGCCAAATCTCGTTGCAGCATCGCAATTTCTTTATTCATTCGGACTCCTCACAGTCAGATCTTTATTACAGCTGGGTAAGGTCGAGTTCTAGGATTAAAGTTTCTGGATCTTGTGTGCGTGATGCGACTTCGCGAGGATTTTCGCTCGCTCGTGTGAAACTCTTTGCCTCGTAAAAGAAGCTCGCACGAACGCGAATCATGGATACCGAGTGTCGATTTTTACGAAAGAGGAAACTGTCCCCCGCCTAGTTCAAGGCCTCGACAAAAACGGATTTTCTTTTTTCTTGGCAAAGGTAAGCAACCCGTCGCTCGTACGCGTTGTATAACTTTATTAATTTCGACCGCGGATTCGTGAGTACTTTGCCGACCGCGTTTTCTTAATCTCTATTATTCTTCTCCCTCCCGGTCGTTCCCGAAGCAATCTTCGAAACATTTGCAAATTTCTTCCCACAAAAATCAGATCGTAAAAGACGTGAAAAAAGTTTTGTCCAAAAATACTTTCGTATACCAATCGGCACAAACTCAGCAAACAGCTCCGACGCTCCAATTGCAAGTATTCGACGGGACACAATTATTACATTCGTATTCGTGCGTGATTTACGAGCCGCCGCGACTCTAATCGCGGCTCCCTGTGTTCCTTCTCTCAATATCGATTATAATATCGTTCCTTCTCGTCGGTAAAACGTTTATGCGTGAGAGTGGTCGGCACAATTTGGGGCAGTAGCGCTCTTACAGCTCGCTACCTTATAGCCTCACGCTCGTATGTATAGTCACATTTATCCGAACATAAGTCGTTAATTTATGCTCGAACCAACCTATGTATAGGGAAGCACATTCTTCGTTTTAATATCGGTATAACACACCATACAAAAGTTCGTAAACTGCAAGAGCTTGACGAAGCGTAGTCGTGACTTATCTTAGCTCTGTTTAAAACTGCGTAGATTTGACGTTAATTAAGAAGACGAAAATGACAACGCGCGAAACAATCGGTACGGTACGTCGTTCGTTTCGGTTACGTTGAATTCCCTCGCACCAGGTGTCGGTGACGGGGGATTCGTTGTCCTTGCGCACTGCGGCACCCGTGTCTTTTACAAAAGTCACCCAAGTACAGCCTTAACTTATGTATGAAAGAAAAAAAAAAAGGAGAGTGAAAGGAAACGTACCAGTACGTTCATACTAACACGCAGTGAGCATTTAACAAGTAATACGTATAAATACACTTCGCATCACGACTTTTTCACCGTTGTTCCTCTTCATACAGAACCCACTTAAACGCTACCTCTTTACTCTCGGAATGTAACCGGCAAACGTTATCAATTTACTTAGCTCTTCGTTGTCGATCGTTTACTGCTAAATGGATGTATAAATGAACGACACAGTCGTGTACAAGTGTCCCGCGATTGACTTTCGCCGTCGTGTCTCGCACGAAACCCTTTTCAAACGGCCAAGCGCTTTCGTATCCGAGATCCTGATGTAACTCGATTCAGATTCGAACGAAACACGAGAGTCGCAGGAAGTCACGAAAGGGGGGGGGGGGTCTGTGTTATATTAGTGGAGCGTGTGTGTCACTTTCGTCCATCGTGGTGTCTCGCTTGTACTGTCGGCCTCGCGAATTCGCCTCGCTTCCTATCGCGTGCGTTCACGACGGAGGGAGGATTAGAGCGCGAGGAGCAAATATCCCTGACGGCGACTCTAAATGGCTAGAGATAGGAGCATTACTGCTGCGGTAATGGCGACGCCGGTCTTGCAAGTATCACCAGCATTACTGTAGTCCACAGCGATGCCCGTAGACTCTGAATGGATACAAAGGCTTTGTGTAATAAAAAAGTGATTCTCCCCTGCTCCAAGTACGGATATCGTCGTCGCGTAAAACATTATCAACGTTTTTACAAGCCCGCCGACGGCCACCGGGTAGCTTTAGCTAGTTGGTGTCTTGCATAGGGTCAAGGGATCTGAGGACTTCATCAAATCCTGTAATCTTGATTAACGCCAGAAGAGCCGGGAGGGGGGCTTGCTACTTTTGCAAAACCGACCTTTCGTTCGGCGTGAAATACGAGGCAAGCTACGTGACGTGCGCAAACTATTATCACTCGCGTCTGGAAACTATTATCACGAGTATCGAAATCAAAGTCCTATGAAACGTACATTATACAGAAATGAAAACGCAATGTATTGTATATTTACAATGTGAAAGTTATCTCGTTACCGTCTTGCGTTCTACTAATATCGATAATAAATTTATATAATTGCTGGAAAAAAAAATTATATCGAAAGTGCTTAGCGGGCAAAATAATCGTTCAGGCCTTTCTGGCGATTACAAGATCGTTTCGCCGTCGACAGAACCGATCGGAAGAATCACTGACAAAATCAATTAAGGGGATCCTGGCGTGACGGCTTAGCTTTGAAATCGGCGACAATTTAACGTCCTATATTGTTATTCAGCACAGGACGTAAAGTCCTGTGTTGGAGACATATACATACACAACACAAAAGTGACAAGGACAGAGATATTCATGAAACATCTATCCTTGCCTAACACATTGCAGCGCTGTCTGTTGCAAGATCTGGCACCTGTAATTTGTCATTCTGTAGCTACACTTCGGGTGTATAGACATGCGTTTCTACGTAAAATTAAGTTCCTCGGTAATCTGTTTTTTTTTTCTTAAACTTTTAATCTCGGTTTTACCGATTCGACGCTATTCTTTGATCCGAATTGCAGGCTGCTTTCGACTTGTGCAAATAGGTTACACAATTTGTATGCAAACGAATGTTTCTTCGAACTGACAGCTTTACGTGCAACACCAAGAAATATTTTATAATTTTTTGTTTCTAGTCTTAAGCTGACCAGCCTGCAATGTCTTTTTGTACATACTTCATGTGTACAAGAGGATTTTTTAATCTGTAAAGCCAATTCGAAGATAGCTGTGTCACACTATATGTCGGTATTTGCCATCGCTCCAGCATCCCCTTAAGGGAAAAAAAAAGAAAAAAAAAAGATAGCTTAACTGAGTGGAAACCTCCTAGGCGAGGAAACGAAAGACCTCAAATAACCCTTTTCCCTCCCCGTTGAATGAACAAAAATAGGGGCGACAAACTGACAAACGATTTGAAGATCGCGAAGAAAAAAATATTCAGTGCAGTAGCTTCGTGCACATATATATATATATTTCAAAGGGAATTATATATCTCGAGTGGAAATCATTACGAGAAATGTAGACACGTCATGGCAATAATTATGTTGGAATCGCAGGAACATCGAGAATTAATTGCGGAGGGCAACCAACTTACCTCTAGCCGTCCTGAACTTGGCGAATCCGGGGTCACTGAAGCCCAACGCGTTGTGAGCCTGCAGCTCGACCGAGTAGATAGTATCGTATTTCAGATCCTTGAGGTACTGCCTCGTCCTGCCCGCGGATTTGACGTCCAGCTCTACGCAGGTGCCCGGCAACTCTTCCCAGTCGCCGGGGATGCGTTTAATCTCGCAGTACTTGATCTTGTACATGTCTATGGGTTCACCATTGTCTATCGGCGCTATCCAGCTAAGCTCGTACTGGTGACTGTACTTAGAGAACTCGTATTCGGCTCCCGACGTCTGGATGATCGGCTCTCTTGGTTTCGTCTTGGCGTTTGTGATCTGGACCTCGTTGTTACCATAGTTGCCCAGACCGACCAGGTTCCTCAACGCGAATCGAAACTCGTATTGCGTCGCCGGTTTCAAATCTTCGATGACATATGGCAAACCTGGAAGGGCATTTGTTTGCACGATATTTAACTGTTATAAATTAAAAGGCTTGAGGCGAAAGTATGTTAAATTACGCGAAAGGAAACTTGAGAAGAAAAAGTAACTGAAAGCATTGGACAATTTGTGACTTTAGCAGGCGTATGTTTTATATCAAAATTTTTATTATTTCTATACTTGTAAAAATATACCACCACAGATACTATATACGTAAATTGGACTTTCTATTTCTCCTCATATATATTATGTTTTCAAAACATTCTTGTTATAGGACATTAAAAAATGTATGTATGTATATAGAAGACTTACCGACAGACCACGTCTTGTTTTTCGAATCTATCCAGTTCTGGTACGCCTCCTTGTATTGCACGGTGATAGACGTGATAGGTAAATCTTTAGTCAAAGGCAGTTCGAGAAAGAATCTTATCGTTGTGGCAGTCGTATCGTCCACCCTGACGTGCGCCAGATTGTCCGGTTTGAACGCTTCCCTCAGCACCATCTCATGCTCCCGCGTGCCGTGAGGGTTCATAGCGATGCATTTATAAGAGTTGTAATATCTTCTGTCCAGCGGTGTTATCTGAAGAGTGGATATCGGCCCGTTGCCAATTTTTCGGATAGGATGGTTGCCTTTCTCGGGATCCAGGCCCCCGCTGAAGGTCCAGCGTATCGTCGCGTTCGGTATGCTCTCGGCGATGCAGGTGAGATTCACCGGTTTCTCTTCCCAGGACCAGACCGTGGTGTTCGGCATGTTGCGGAAGGAGGGCGGGTACTCCACGGTCAAATGGCCGTTCTTGTAGGCGACACCGCCGGTATTTTTCGCCACGCACTCGTACAGACCGTCGTTGTCGGTGAGAGCGTTCGTGATCGACATTGTGGCAACGGTTTCGCCGGACAATTCATCCTGCTCGTTCTTCAGGACAATTCGGTCGTCGTGCGTCTGAGCGCCCATCACGTATGGCTTCTCAAGTGTGAGCTTCCTGAAGGTCACGTCGGGCGGCGGTCGGCCGAAGACCTTGCACTTAATATCCACGTTTTTGCCCTGCACCACGGTCTTGTTCAGGAACTCCATAATTTTCGGCTTGACGATTACGTTCACCCGGATGGTAGCACTGGCAGACCCGGCAGCGTTTATTGCGGTGCACCCATACTCACCCGCGTCCTCACGGTTCACGTTTGTGATGGTGAGCACACCTGTGACTGAATTGACGCCGAAGCGATCGGCGTTAGACAGGTTTTGTTGAGCGATGGACTTGACCCACGAGATCATTGGTGGCGGCTTACCGCCAGCTTTGCACTCAATGTTCGCGTTTTCGCCCTCGATGATGTCCACTGGCTTCGAAATCTCTTGGATTGTGGGTTGTATGTGTACCTAATGAGAATTAACGAAGAAACTTGTTGATATAAAGACAATTATTAAAAGATAAATAGACACAGACTTATTTACACTCACGGGCAAATTGTGTCTAAAAATGATTAGCGATAAATTTAAAAAAATTACATCAGCAAATTGATGCTACATTAATGGAAAGAAAATCAGAAGTTGTAACGTTCTTGTAATAAAGCGGCGTTAACATATGACGATTAATGACTATAACAAAACACGTAATGGTAGTAAATATTTAAGTTGATACGAAATGTTTATACAGTTTCTGAAATAATTTACAACTTTTTAGTTGGTGCTGCGTAATCAAGATGCTAAATGGTACCTCAACGCGGATAGGTCGCTCCTTCAACTCTCCTGTGATCGGCACCGATGCACGACATGTATATATGCCGTCGTCAGACTCTTGAACATTCTTGATCGTCAGGGAATAAGTATTTATAACGTATTTCTGATTGTTAGTCGTGATCAGCTCTCCGTTGTAAAGCCAATCAACCGAAGGCGATGGCGTGGCGCGCACTTGACACTTAATATCATAGTCTTGTCCGAGGATGGGAAACTGATTTAGCGGTGCGTCGTCCCACGTGATCGCAACTATTGGTAACAAATCGGAAATTTTGCTTGGACAAATATTGCGACACTCAAAAAAAAAATTATACTAACGCAGGCAGATTTCTAGATGTCGCGGCAAAAACTTATCGCTATTTTGTGTATCCGTTAGAAAATTGTAGCCTACACTGAAAAAAATTTCTGGTTGAATATGGACGAATCAGATAATTCTTTTAGGATTTACCAGAATTCCTTTAGGATTTACCAGAATTCCTGTAATCCTACAGAAATTCTGGTAAATCCTAAAGGAATTCTGGTAAATCCTAAAGGAATTATCTGATTCGTCCATATTCAACCAGAAATTTTTTTCAGTGTACAAAATTCATAGCAGCGACATTCTAGTAATACCTTCTAGCAAGTTTAGGTTTCGTGACTAAATATTAATCATTCACCCTCGAGAAAAATAAATTTCGGTAACGCAGGTAGAACAATCTTTGCAAAGGCCTGTGTTCACAATGCAAGTCCTTGCAGCTTTTATGGAATAGCTGCAAGTTGATTGGCTACACATTTCTCGAAACTGGAATGACTTGGACCAAGTTCTAGCATCGTGAACACAGGCCTTAAGGAATATAACTGTTTATGTTCCACAATCAAACGTTATAATGGATGGGCGTTGCAGAAAGACTTTCTTCCTAACATGCGCTAACAGTTCAGAGAGAAATTCTGTCTCTGTTATTTAAATTGAAATTGGCTATTCATTTATACATCTCAGTAATTTTTTTGTACCTAGAAAATTGTTGCGGCAAGATCTTTGTTTTTGGATGCACGCCGAACTCTCGAAAAAAACCTGCCTGTTACTTGATTTTAAAACTATCCAGATTAATAAAAACTGAGACTTTTACTGTTATATAGTACGTCTGACTAAATATCTGTCAAAAATCTAGTAACCAGAGTAAAATATCCATTATTTAATCAGCTGCGTCTGCCTTATTAAAAGTTACACGCATTTTCCAATAAAGTCTCGACCGAAAAATTCTAGCATCGTTATAAATTTACGCGGACTATATATATGGGCTTTTCGAATTAATTAAATACTGCTAGATATACTTCGCCGGGAGATATTTTATTCCGCGTCTCGGAATAATTTCGCTAAAAAATTTAAAAGAAATTAAAACGCGGGGCTTCCAATTTTCTGTACTCACTTATAGTCTCGATTGTCACCGACTTGCTCAACGGCAAATTACGCGCGTAATTCCCCTGGCACATGTACTTGCCGGCCTCTCGCTCCTGGAGGGAATTGAAGAACAGGGACAGGCTGCCATCCTCGTGCATTTCGGTGTACATGGCCGGCTTCGTTTGACCCACGTGCGTTCTGTGGAGAGTAACGTCACAGTTTGCAAACGAAATAATTCGCAACATCGGTCAAAGCACGGCAATTGACGGTTAATGATCAATGACGTCGATGATATTGCGCTCATACACGTTCTTCGTGGGTGAAACGCGGGGATGACGTGTAAACGACAACGAGATGCATTCACATGACCTCGTATTATTCAACGTTGCACAGAATGGCGTGGCGTACCGGCGCGTATGATGCTAGTACAGGTATATGATGGTATGATGTATTCAAGCAATTTCCATATAGTGTATCGGGCGACGAGATGCCGGATGTAATATCGCGTGACGTCGACGATGAAGGTTACGAATATGGATTTTGCGGATTAAGAAGGTGGTTGGAGGCGATAGGGCCAGAAGCGCAGCTGCTCCGCGACCGCGTTTCCGTCTTCGGCGGGCGGAAAATTATCGGAGGTACGTGTGCCTCGAGAGTTTAATATCTCCGAACGGTGATATTAATGCGGACGATATCGAACTACAAGATATCATCGCGGAAAATATTCGGTGGTCGTCCGCGAGTTAATTCGTTGTCGCGGAGCAGCCGTGTATCGTGACAATCACGATGCACGAATACGAGGCAAGCAGTAATGATGATTGATATTTAAAAAAAACCATTAAAAAAACAGGACACTGTCGCGACAGTCCGTCGATTACGCAGAGCGATCGAAAAGTGCCGACAAAAAAAAATAGCTGCGCTCTGCAGAAAAAGCTGCTTCGCAACGGTTGTAGAATTCGTGAGTTTGACTGGAGTATACTCTTAGGGTGCGTATACACTACGGCGAACAAACGGCGAACGAACAGCGAATTAGACAGATATGTACACCACAGCGAATGCGAACTGAACTATCGGTAGTGTTCGATTCGCCTTCGGTCCGAGTCGAAAGTTCGTGCGCAGTGTGGACGGGATTCGAATACGAATACGAACGTCCGAACATTCGTGTTCGCCGTTCGTTCGCCGTAGTGTATACGCACCCTTAGATTCGGCCAAGATTAAGTGCGCCAATCAGATTTTTACGACAGTTGCAAAGCAGCTTTTTCTGCCGAACACAGGCAACTCTTAACAGTTTCGTTTTGCTCTGAAATAAATGGCACGTGAATGCTCTCTGGTCCAGTCGGTTCTCGACGTATCGATTTTCGTAACAGCCTGTATTCGTGTGTAATGACGCTGTGGAGAACGTATAATTGAGAGGCGCAAATAGCTCGAAACGGGACGATTTTGTCCGGGAATGTCACACGCGGCACTCTTGACGACGAATGTACTTAATTATGCAAATCGTAGCTCGGGGTAAGAGTAATCGCGCAAACACGCGACACGACGAATCAGTTGCCAGCAGGGTTAACGTTCGTTAGATTATTTGATTGTCGGATTAAATGCCTGGCAATACGAGCGACGTATTACATTAATTATCAGCGATATCGCGGACAGACTTGCGCGAATAAAGGACATATTGCGGATGAAGGTGAAAATAATTGCGAGAATGTATGCACAGAATTGCGCAATTATGGAGCTACCTAATTACTGCTGATACACACACACACACGCACGTGCACAAACGCGCGGCGCCCTAGAAAGATCGTGTTTCATTTTTAATCCTGCGAGCTCGAGCAGAGTTTAATTATAAAGCTAGTTAACATCCGAAATTAAAGAGCACGAGCAAATAAAATTTCAAGACGTAAACAAGGGAAAAAAGTCTTTCAAACAGTCAAGAAGTTGGAAATAAATTTTACTCCGACGCCACGTTTAAAAGAAAATTAATTTTGATCTTAATGCGCTCAATGCTCGAAAAGTGTACGATACAATCGAGGTAGAGCTCTCTCTCTCTCTCTTGCGACGAACGAAAATTCGAATTATTGACAGAATGAAGGAACATCGATTCGAGATTACGCGGTACGAACGTGTAAACGAAAAATTCGTTCGCTGTTCGATGAATTTTTTGCCCGGCCGACGGGTTTCCTCGGCATGTTGCTGGCGTTCAATAAGTCAGGTACACCGGCGCGAACGTTCGGAACTTTTCCGGCCGGCTTAACGAGCGATAGCCGGCTCGCGAACTGCAATCGGCTCGCGTTGCAGCAATTAAGAGCTCCGTGGCGCGGACTGCGGGAAACGTAGCCACATCGTGGGAAAATGATTGCATCGAACTCGGGGTGAAGTGACGGGTGAGTGTATCCGCAAATGAGAGAGGTGGAAACGGGGGAGGAGAGTGGCAAACGAATGAACACTACTGCGGTTGCATGGTATAGATCTTCGATTCAATGGGTTTTATACTCGCCTTTCGAGCGGCAAGACGGCGTATCTGTGTATGCGTTACAAAAATTCATTGGATTAGTGTTGCAACTAGTTCTAGTGTGTTTTTGTTTTAAACGTAACAGATGTATAGTTCTGTACTGCCGAAACCTTTTAGCTAATACGAGAGAGTCCTCTCTTAAAATTTATCTTAAAAACTACACGATCGTGGGACAACATAGCATTTTGAACAACTTCGTGAGTGTTTTGAAATTTTACCACACTTTTTACTAATATGAGATAGGCCTCTGATACGAGATAGCGGAGTTTCTGCTAAATTACCAGGCATCGTCTGTTGGTCCCACCATGAATTTATTGCCCTTGGAGTGAAAGCTGTTTAGTGGAAAACTGATTGCTAGATCGTGTACTCGTTGCGAAGAAAGATTTGTGATTGAATCTGGACGTCAAAAACCTCCTATCTCATATTAGCCTCCTATTTCACAATAAAGGACTTTGCTCTACCAGTAAAATTCCGCAAGACTCTTATAAAATTCTTCGAAATGCCGTGTCGTTCCACGACTTCGTGATTTTCAGGATAAACGTTGAAAGAAAATTCGCTCCGTGTATAATTTGCGCTTTCTATAAACTCGTATCATTAATCACGATTGAAATTCACAGTATTCTGCGAACGTACCGGAGACAGAACACGTATAATTATTATCGAATGTTAACATTTGCCTCGTGACCTTAATCGAAAGGAACATAATTTAAAAATTATTTTATTAATTTGCTGCATTACTAAATTTCACTTCTCAATTAAAATAAATCTCCCCAAGTACTTTAACGAAGCTTGACACGGAGTACATTTATTCGCCGAAATGTAATTGATTAGTACGGCAATGCATATGTAAATATCAACGACGGGAGAGGAAGACTCTCTAGATCCATCATTCTTATAATTGCTCGAGCGTAGCAGCTCTTGAGAAAAAGACCGCGACGCTAACAGTGTCGCGGCACGTATCTCCGACTAATTAACTGTCATCTTCCCGATTGCCAATTATAATATAGATAGAGAGAAGCGCCGTTGACGCGGGCGCTCTCGAGTCATCTTGAAAATATTATTTATAAGCGAGAAAGGGAGTGAGGGAAGAGATAATCGGCTTACTTGAGAGACTCGATCTTGTGGCCCCGCGGATCGAGCCATTCCATGCTGGTGACGAGCGACGGGTTGTACGTGTCCACCTTCGGTTTGCACGTAAGGATGATGCTGGAGCCGACCGGCTTCGTCTGCGTCTCGCCGCTCGGCAGGATTTCCAAGTACGGATCCGCCGCGCTCGCGTAAGCTGCAACAAGAAGGCAACCAGGAACGTCATTATGCTGACAAGGACGAGTGCGTGTATATGTGTACGCGTACGGTTTTGCGCGTGCGACCGCAACGATCGTAGTCGCGGCTGTAGACCGGCGGAAAACACCGGTTTCGATAATGATATAATTAGCGGGGCATTACGACGGCGCCGCGGCATTTATTTTTGCATAAATGCAAAGTTCAAAATGCAAAGCAGGACCGATGAGCGGGCAAACGTTCGCGCTCGCGACTTTCAACGACACTTGTCTTAAGTGTCTCGCCTAGATTTACACAGCTTTTCGTTGCTTTGCACTTCTGAGCTCTCTATTGTAACTCGTAACCGTAATTATTGTACATTCGTTTCAAAGAGATTATGCAAACTGGAGTAGATAATAGGCCGTTTAGTTCATCATGTTTTTCAGTATATTTTAAATACAAGAAGCTTCTCTGAAATTTTAACTTTTTTCTTCCAGGAGTATCGGACTACAATATCATTTAAAAAAGTAAACGTACAGTGATGTACACGACGGTCGCAACACTATTTTTTCAATAAGTTTGGAAACGCGCATTTAGATTCAGGTTGCAAAACATTTTCTCAGGGGAAAATTTTACTCGAGAAATAGATCGAAAACGCTCAAAATGGTTTTGGAATGGCCATCGAGTAAAATATTCCTCGGAGAAAATGTTTTGTAATGTAAACCTGAATCTAAATGCGCGTTTCTGCGCTCGTTGATGCGCAAAAAAATGTCGCAAGAATTCTGTCCACTACTGTACATTTTTCATGTATGTATGTGCAAAATGTATATGTTGGTATGCGCACAAATTCACGTGGGAAGGCATCAGTGATTCCTAGTGTAAACAGGCAGGCAGAAATGCCTGGACATTTCTATAATGTATTTTATAATTATAGAAATGCCCAGGCATTCCTGCCTGTCTGTTTACACTAGGAATCACTGATGCCTTTCCACATGAATTTGTGCACATATCATTTCTATAATGTATTCTGTAATTACAGAAATGTCCAGGCATTCCTGCCTGCCTGTGTACGTGTCAACTGGAATATACAGGGTGTCCCAGGATGAAAGGTCAATATTCTGGGAGGCGACAGTATCGGTCATTTCAAGCAAAAATGTTCATACGAATATACGTCCCATTACCCACTGTTTCCGAGATAGAGCTACTTGTGTGTCTCGTGCATTTACTTTTTCTCTGTACACTTCACCCTTCATCCAACCTCATCAACGTCTGCGGGAATTTACTCTTATACGCCTGTTGACTGTTGTGCTGATAACATTGTAGAAATAACGTAAAGAATTATTTAACGCCAGTAGTTGATTAACCAATGTAGAAAATCGCATGACGAACGATGGCTGGCAAATTCTAATTAAAGAAATTCATTGCGAAAAACATTACCTCCGCCAGGGTTTGAACCTGGACCTCCCCACATATTATATTTTTCGCAATGAATTTCTTCAATTAGAATGTGCCAGCCATTGGTCGTCATGCAATTTTCTACATCGTAGAAATGTTCCAAATGCCTCGCATATTCACAAATGTCGAATACGCAGATATGCTGCATGTTTACGGTGGAAGTCCGAATCGTAAAGTGTTTTCCAAGGTTTTCAATACATTGCGCGAAAGTGGGACGCTTCCCAGTGTTCAAGTTTTATCCGAACGAGGACGTCAACAAAATGTGCTCTATCTCGGAAACAGTGGGGAATGGGACACATATATTCATATGAACATTTTTGCTTAAAACGACCGATACTGTCACCTCCCAGAATATTGACCTTTCATCCTGGGATACCCTGTATACAACAATAAGAGAGACGACTCGCTGATGTTTCCAAGTGTCCAGATACCCCTCGAAATGCGCGTCAAATCCGATCGGTTTAAAAAATTGAACGCGAGCAAGTGAAAACGAACCCGTTTCGCTTTTCTCTCAAGACCACGCAATCCGAACAACTCCCCGGAGCAATAAGCCCGCGCGCGGCTGCGATCTTACCCACGCGAGTGGGGCGAGGCGACACCGCCCCCGGCAGCAGGGGTGGCGGCGGCGCCGTCATCACGTAAATGCACAACACGGAGAGGCAGATCGGCGTCGTCTCGGCGCTCATGGTTCGCGTCGCGCAACGGGAAGCACCTTCGGGGGCCGACGATGCGTGCGTCAACTATGACAACGGTATGCGAGCGTCGCCGGAATGCAGGCGTGCGCGACGGGTGCCCCCGACGCCGTCGGCGCGGCTCTGCGCGGCGGCGGGCGTAACAGGAAGCGGGAATTGAGCTAATTAATTGCGGCGAGCGAAAGTGCGGAATTGCCCTAACTGGGAAACGCTCCATGACCTCCTCCTCCTACTCCCTCTCGTCCTCCTCCTCCTCTTCCTCTTCTCGTCACGGCGTCACCAGGACGTAAACTGCATCAACGGCGTAATGCAGGATAGATGCTCGCTCGCCTCGCTCTCCCTCTCCCTCTCTCTCTCGGCGCCAGCTTTGCAAGCTCATTAGCTCGTTAACTTGGCGCACGTAAAGCCCGGGCTACCTGACGAATGGAAATGACGGCGCAACGAGGGAATCATTATCGAATTTGCGGAGGGCCGGCAGCCGCAACTGGAACCACTCGTTAAGTCCGTGGGAACTTCTCGAGTCGCCGGCGAGAGAGGCGCCGATTCGCGATTACACCCGGTTAACTGTGGGGCTTAAAACACGACGAGTGCCCGCATCGCGACTGACGGTCGATTTCCGCTTCGCGCGGATTACGCGGAACGATAATGGATTTGCGTTGGCGTTATATCACTTCCCGCGCACGTGTACACTGTCGCCGATTGTCAAATTGACAAGCGCGGGCGTTTCACGAGAGAGAAATCGAACGGTCAGCGGAAAAAAAATATATATATGTATATTCGATGCAAGCACAATGTGATGAGCGAGCCGTGTAATCGAAATAACCGGGATCGAGGTTTCGCCTAAATAATTCTTTTTTTTTCACTGGATGCAAGAGCGCATCGCGCTGTGTAACAGTTGATCTCGTAAATACTGAAACCGCGGCACGGTGGATGCTGCGAAAATAATTGAATATACGGATTAAAAAAGCGGGCTCGAGATAGAGAACTGGGTCTACGCCGCTGATGCAAGCGAGCGGCTCGCGTGTGACGCAGATCGCGTCTGACGTAATCGACAATGGCACGAAAATTGAAACCGCCGCAAATTGCCGGCGGAAAAAGTCGATCCCTCCCGTTCCCGCGCCGCGAAAAACCTGGTAGCGATATTAGGAGAACGAAAATGGGGAAATGTTCGAAGCGAAAGACGTCGTCCTGAAAAGGACAGCACGTGGTATAATCATAGTGTAACTAGTAGGCCCCGAATTCACATTAGTACCTTTGCAGGTTTTGACACTGCATCTGGTGTATCCTGTGGTTTTCTTCATAATAAAATTATTAATATTATTTGCACGTGTTCGAACTGTCACACTGACTTCACACTACCACATATACAACATCCGTCTCATTGGCTCCACCAAAATAATGGCGGATGCGCAGAAAGGATCGAAGCAAAACAAAAATTACAAAGTGGGCATACTAGTTATACTATGGTATACACTGATAAAAACTATCTGAATAAAAAAAAATTACTTTACTTAAGAAGATTATTCATTAGGCGACCCCTAATAGCTTATTAACTTTAATTTAAAAAATAAGAAATAAATTAAAACATGCGTTGCTTTAAATATTTATTAAATATCAAAGAATAGATCATTTTAAATTAAAAAAACTTTTATTTTAATTCCATAAAATGTTTACTAAGACGTAATTTTCACAGCGAAGAAAATTGGATTTCTTATTTAAAAAAACTTCATTTAATAAATAGTACTCTATATCTCACGAAATCTTTATTTGAATGTAAAAAATGTAATGATTTAAATTAATTTACTTAATATATAGATTTTCTTAAAATTTAATATTTTTATTTATTTAAATAAAATAAATATTTACTTCAGTAAAAAATAATTTTAAGTAAATCTATTTACTTGGCTTAAAAATATTTTTTGTCAGTGTAGCTTTGATGAATACGTGCACGCACGTACCGCTGGATTGCTGACCAAAGCAATGACGGAATACCACGTGATCGAAACTGAAAAGATCAAAGGACCGACAAGAACTCAGGGCATTCTAGTTATACTGTGGCTATACTACCATGCATATAACTTTTCTCTCATTGGCTTGACCAAAATAATGGCGGATAAACCTACTACCAGTTATACCACGTTATAATTCTACGCACCTCTCGGCCTCCATCTCGTAAAATTTCTTCTCGACGGCTCAGCTCCCTCGGATACTTCGAAATGTGTTCGTTCATTCGTGAAAACAGTCGTATCGCAAAAATGGATACTGCGCCGCGAAACAAGTATCGCCTCCGCCATTAAACTCATTCCATTTCCGATTATTATCGTTCGAATAAATTACCACTTGTTTCAATTACTTTCGTCTCTCATTAAATTTGAGGCTTCGTTAAAGGTATCTCCGGCGAAATCTGTGCGAGATGATTATTTTATCGCGGATAATGCAAATGCACCGCTCGAGAAACCGAGAGAGACCCGTTAATTTCTATAATAGCCCGTGCAAGGACGCGGAAAGGTTACAATCCTTCCTAACGGTGGAACTTCCTTAATTGGCCTAAGACTCATCGGGATGAGTTCTTGCGTGCGGTCAATTAAAGGATCTCGCGCTGCTCGCCCTCCCCTCCCTCTTCCAACAAATTCGGAGAGGGGGGGGACTTTAAGCTGCTTTTGCGACATCTTTCTATAAGCCGGAACGATCCATAAGAGCCAACTACGACGAGGGAGTACGACAATCATCAGGCAAGCATATTAAGTATCTCGCAATAAAGTTCTAGAAAAAAATGTTTAATTTGCGCTGCTTTTACCTCTCTTTTTCAGGAGCTTTTAGCTAGCGTAAATTCATACCAAAGTATTTTTTAATATACAGCACCGGCCAAAATTAT